CATTTCTAATGCACTAATTATGCTTGTGATAAACAAGGAGTTTGATTCATTTTCTCAGCTGTCCCTGACCTATATTTTAATATAAATATGTATGTCTCATGCAAACAGCCCAAAAATTTTCCCAAACCATCAACTTGTTGCAGTTTCCAAGTTACTGGGCTTTACTTACTGCTTTGCTTAGTGCTAAAATCAAATTAATGGCTTCTGTACCAGTTAATGCCTCTGCTTTGCCTCTTTGTGTGGGCTGGAAGGAGCAGCAAGGGCATTGAAGCACTTTGGTACTTGATGCTTTATTAAAACCTGACTTGATAGTTTAATTCCAGGCAGCAGCACCCTGGATTAGATGGGTGTAGGATGGAGATTCCACCTTTTAAACAGGATTTAGGGTGATTTTTCCAGCCTGTGCTCCTGGGGCTGCAGGAGGAGATACCCAGATCTGCAGCTGTAACAGCCAGTGGGAGACTCCTTGTTCAGGTATTTTCTTTGCTCTTGTGAAAAGGGAGATTCTTCCCTCTTTACCTTGCAGTATTACAAAAGACTGGAAGTTTTCACAGGTAGGTATAAATAATCTCCAAATAGAGGTTTTCTGCCTCTGAGTTTATTTTTAAAATGTATTTCCTTCTGCATTTTTTTATGATTTTTGCTTGTTTGGAGCTTGGTCAATTTGCTAGAACTCAAGAAGGAAAAACTAAGAGGAAAAACTGCTGTTTCCCAGCTTGGAGATGATGCCTCAGAAAACTTTGATTTTTCCTATCAAGAAAGGAAAAGATGAATAATTGGCCCCAAATGCTGTAACTTGCCTGTTTCACCTCTATTATTCAGATTTCTGGGTCCTTGGCACTCTAAATTTTGGAGCTCAGCCTCCTCTTCAGCATCTCCTCCTGTATTTAAGTGCACCCATGGCATTTACAGACACTGAATCCTTACAGAACCCTCTTACACACAGAGTTAGATGCAAAGCAAGAAATTCAAATAAACAAAAATACTTTTTGGCATTCCCCTGAGGATATTACAAAGCTGCTGGAAATTAAATGCTGATTTTTTTTTTTTCTTCTCTACTGCTTCCTTTTCTTCTTCAAGACCTCCTTTGCTTTCATGACTACCCCTTTAGTAAACAAAAAATTAGCATTTCTTACCCAACCTTGATAATACTCATCTTTAAATTTTCCAAGGAGATGCTTCTTTACTTGAAATCATGAGCTGCTTGTGCAACAGATTTATCTCCAGCTCTAGAAGTGAAAAATATGTTCTGATTGTTAAGGCATCTAAAATTCTTACAGAGAATTAGGCCAAATTAATGCATCATTGTAAAAAAAGATATGTTGATATATTTTAGCTTTTGGGTTTTGGAATTTGCTCACCATTGCTCACCTCTACAGATACATGTGGTCTTGCACACTGCTTAAAAAATAAAAGAGGGTAATGGGAAAAGTATCTTTTGTCATGGTGATGTTGGATATTAAATTCCTGAATGAACTGAATTCCAAGAGTTCTAAATATTCAATCTGCTCTAGGATTTTATTTTCTCTTATAAGTGTTGTGTGCGAAGGGCAGCTGCCTGTAATTTATGGGGCAGATTTATGTGTGGTCTCATTATGTGGAAGGATGGGCTCTGCAGAACGAGTTTCAGCCTTACTGAGTTTAGAAAATGGTGTTTTGCAGAGTGAGATAAAGAATGAATTTGTTTACTGTTACATGGTAATTTATAGTCAAATTGGAAACTGCTGTTATTTGATTGGAAGTTAATAAAAGAGAATATTGCATACTCAAATAATCAGAAGAAACCAGAACTGGAACAAAGGGAAAAGCTCTGTATCTCTTTCTTCTCTGAGCTTTTGAAAAGGCTTTTAAAATATTCCATTAAATTAAAAGAAGATAAATCTTGCTACCCTGATAATTGCTAGCTTTTACAAACAATCTAGGAATACTAAACCCAAGGGACTTGATGGGGAGAAAGATGGTAAATATGCAATTTTCCTTTTGTTTACTGTGTATTTATTCATTTTCTTTGGTGGTTTGCACTTTTTGTTCTATTGATTAACATAAAAGCAGCGTTGCTTTAGGGAGAGCACACTCTGTTCCTGCTTCCCTCTGGAAAAGGAGTCTGGCTGTCCCAGCATTCCAGAGGTGGGAGGCTGGAATTTGGGTGTGGGAAAAGACAGAAAGGAAGAAAGAGCATTAAAAAATCTCTACCACAAAGATAAATTGAGAACCATAAAATACTGAGGATTTAAAGGTTGGCATAAACTTAATTATAAAAGATGATTTAGAAGTCAAAGATTGCTGAGCAGGGAGGTGGAGGAATCTATTATGGCAGGACTGAATTTATTATGGCAGGACCTGTGCAAGGAGCACAGCTTGGATTTCTCACCCTGGTGTATCCCACAGGAATTGATTTGCTTACACTGCCCTCACAGGTGTAAAACCATTCACCTGCTTTCCACAGAGGAATTTTCCATGCCATCTGCATTTCTAATCAGGAAGGCACTAATTAGGTGGGAAAACACCTCAAACCAGCTACTACTGATAAAATTCCCCAAAACAAAAGAAGGATTTGATGGATCATTTGGTGTCATCTCTTTTTGTCATGTGTTGTTTGTTGTCCCATCCCACCCCCAAGCTACTGGTCCCTTTCTGCCAGTAGAATTTTATAAATATAAATAATATAAATATAAATTTTGCAAATTGCTGACTGCAAGGACTCCACATTTTATGGCTGTTACCTATATTGCACACATTTTGCTATGAAAAATATTGGCCTGTACTATTCAGTAACAACTTTTTTTAGTGTCAAGTAATGGCATTAATTTTGAATTAATTTATTAATTTATTATAATTAACATATACCATTATATATAATAATGTAAAATATATTATAATTATATATTTTATTATAATTTATTTATTTAATCTTTACAGGATTTCTAGTTTTGTTACCTTTATTTCAGATAGAGAATTGGGATTTTTTTTTTTCCCAGACATGTAGAAATCTCAAAGTTTAGCAAGGTCTTAGATGGTATATGTGGTAGATAATATGTTCTTCTTAACTGTAGGAATAAATTCCATGTCACTGAATTCCTGTGCTTGTTTCAGTGGGAATAATTAAGAAATTTGACACGTGGTGGGGGTGAGGTGGCTGCTTGAAGTGACAGGGACACAACTGGGTGCCCTGTATGAATATTTCTATTTTCTAGCCTGCCTAGGTTGGTCATATTTAAGTTTATACACGTGTAGAGTCTTACCTAAGGTGCTCCTGTTAAATTCAGAACTCCTGATGTTGAAAACACACTTTTTGGTCATTTAATGTCACCTTTCACTACCCACAGTTTCACCTTATAGTTTTCAGCAGTTTGCAGAATTCTGTTAAAATGGGAGCATTCAAACAAGTAAACTGAGATCATGTGGCTGCTTCAAATGGAGATACCCCCTACTGAAAATATAAAAAAATTAGTGTTTTAAATAGAGAAATATGTAAAGTACACAAAAAGCACCAGTTTGTTTCCCCCAGCATTGCTGAGCCTGGGATGTTTGCACCCTTCTGCTGTGATTCTCCACACACAAAGCCCTGTTGTTGCTGTTGGAGGTGCTTTAAGAATTTAAAATACATTTGTGAAGCTTCTCTTTTGCTATTCAGCACCAAACTAAGCTGGAGTTGATTTTGGTTTGTTTATCAATAAACATGAAGGTTGTGTTGCTGCGAGGGGAAATAACTGGGAAAATGAAATACAATTACACTTCCTGAAGCCAGATGCAAGTTTCTATCAATGCTTTTATTTTTGCTTAAGGAAACAAAAACCACAAGCAATGAGGAAACCATCCTATTAATGGTGATAGTCCCTTCTCCCTCTGCTGCAAGTGATGTTTGGAAATTGTTGTTTTTACAGGTGAAACCGTGTTCAGCAGTGCTACTGAGAAGGCACAGAAGAGATCAGGTGTAATCACAGAGCAGAGATGAACTTACCTATTTTTCTTTTTTTTTTTTTTGGATAATCCAAGTCTATGTATTAAAATACACATTTTGATTTGGGAATTAAGAAACCCAGAGCAACGTTGTAGAAGTTAAATACAAAACAGTAGTAAATATGCAAAATACAGGTGATAAGCAGAGCGGTGAGGCAAAAGGAAATAATATAAAAGTTGATTCTTAAAATATAATTCTTTGTAATTCTTGGCTTCCCCCCAGCCCTGGGTGTAATGCACTGCCAGTCTAATCAGGACAGCAATGAGATGGTTGAATTTAATTACCAAAGCATCAGAAAGGAAGATGGCACAGGGAGGCCTGATATCTGCATTAATATGTACTAACCAGGCTGTGTTTGAGGAAAATGAGGTTAAAAACAACACAGTTTTGTGATATACAGTACTTCTTCAGTGAGAGGACTTCTCCCAGGTGGATACATCCTCTTCCAGCACAGAGATTTCTGGAAGATCTCTAACAGTAACATGAAAATTGAGATTACAGTACAGCTGCAAGCACAGTGAGCCTTTGGTTAAATACAGGTTATACCTTGGGTGCAGATATCAGGCATTTCACTGAGTTCCAGGAGAGATTTTGTCTTTTTACCCTGCCATTTTTATTCACAAGTTGGTTAGGAACCATTGAGATGGAGTTGTTTACACATTTCATTGATCTGTATCAGCACTCCTTAAAGAATAGATCAAAACTAAGAAATCTACGTAGGACCAACAGAGCAGAATTATTCAAGTTCAGTGAAATATTACAAAAAAAAAAAAAAGGCTTCCTTTTTAGGAAAACTCAGCTATGGTAAAAATATCTACTACAGTGCACTGCACTGTAATAAATATTCAACATAAATTAATAATTTACAAGTACCTGAGCAAGTATACAGAGCACCATAGCACAGCACAGCACCAAAGGCAGTAGCTCAGAATTCTTAAAAATAATGCTGTTTTAAACATTAAAAATTCTAAGTATTGTCAAAGAAATGAACTCCAGCTGGAGTTGAAAGATAGTGCAAACTTCTGTCTTCACTTTTGAAAATAAAGGTGTCAGGTTTTTTTACTCATTTCAGGTCCGTCGTGTTGCTGGACCTGGATACCTGCGGTGGATGTCTGGGAGCAGGTCTGTGGGAAAGAAAGAAAGCAGCAAATTGTTACTTCATCTCTCCATTTCTTTGGGTGCTCATCCATTTTGTACCTGATCAAAAATGTCAGTAATGTTGCAGAATTCCAGGTGGAATTCCAAAACTTGTAGTGGACCTCCAAAAGTTGGAGGAGTCAGCTTGAAATGCTGTTTTCAGAATATCTGACTAGAATAGACAGCCAGGAGTTTAATCAAGTTTCTTTTCACGATATTTTTGCTAAATATTAAGAAACTCTGTTTCTATTTTTAATGTTTCTGAGCATTTAAGTGCTTTACTGGTAGAATTCTTGTAGCTTAAAACACCATTTTTATCTTCTTTGGAGCTTACTTTATTCACAGGAAACTGAGGAATACTGGGTAAGAAAACAGCATTGACTAAACTCACTAACATTGGTTGTAGTTATTCCACTTCCTGGTTATTTTTTTCAAACATACTTTAGATTTTTGAAGTGTACAATTTTTATGCTTTTTGAATCTTTTGGCTATTATTTTCAGATGATGCCAAATGATGTTTCCTTGGGAAATGGGTGATCAGGAAATTGCTTTTATTGGTTGCCGATTTTAACAGCATTCAGTTCTTAGCCTAATTCAGATGCAGGGGGGTCTGAAGAGCAAATTTATTATTTATTGGTTAATTTTTGTAAATAGGCAGCCAGATGTTTACAGTCAAACCTTCACAGATATTATAAATCCTCATATTCTGTGGGAGTCACAGCAACTGCGCTGCTGCACTCCCTGTGAGAAGCAGTGTGATAAGCAAAATTAGAGATGGAAATTATATTGGAAGTGGTTTTTGCAGCAGTTCCTCGAGCCATTTCAGCCACATTGCTGCTGAAGTGCTACAACCCAGGTGTTAGGATTGGTACCTTTTTGGGACTACCTAAAAACAGAAGCCAGAAAATATTAAGGGAATAAAAAGCAGCTATATTTATTGAAGGGCCTTCAGGTACATTTCAGGCAGATGAAGCCCACCCACACAGCCTACACCCAAAATGGCCAGTGGGTCACAGGCTTCCATACTTTTATAAATTTGGTCAATTTTCACATTAGGGGTTAATCTTCCAATTACAGCTTCAGGTAATGAAGTAATTTACCTCAAACTTTCCCCCCTCAACTCACTTTTGTTTCCATTTCTCAGGGCCTGAGTGAGGTGTCCCTGGTTCCCAGGCCCGGAGGGGAATTGTGGTGTCTGACCAAAATGGGGAAGCGGCAGTGGGCACTCTACAGAGTTTAGAGTTCTACACAGAAGAACTGCAGGGTTACAAATGTATGAAAATTATAAAATCTGAACTCCTCGGGCAGCAGGGTGAGGACTGACCTGGCAGGGCTGACGTGGGGGAGAGCCTTGGGGTGTCCAGCGGGGCCCTGGCGCGCTCGACCCAGGGGGTCAGCGGGGAGAGGCTTCCGAGGAGGGCTGGGCTTGGGGGGCTCCTGCAGGAAACACCAGCTTCTGTCACTTTCCAGAGCAGACACCAAACCCTTCACACAGCCACAAGCAGGATAAATTCAAAGAATTACAGACTGGGTTGGCTTGGGAGCGACCTTAAAGCCCATCCAGTGCCACCTTCCATGGTCCCAGGCTGCTCCAAACCCCAATGTCCAACCTGGCCCCGGGCACTGCCACAACCCTGGGCAAAACCAAGGCCTCACCCCCACCTCACAATTTCTTCTCAACACCTAATCTAAACCTAAACTGAAGATATTTTTCAATCAGTTATGACCAGGTAGGTTTAAATCAATAAAAATAACTTATCTTTAATAAGCTGTTGCTTATATTTTAAATCAAAGATTTAATACTATATTTTCATGATTTTATGTCTTTTGATTCTTTACTCTAGAAGTGCAGGGTGCATCTCCACTGGACTTAACTGGTGATAAATTAAAACAGCAAGGATCCAGTACATAACTTTGTAGAAGTAGCTCTATAGAAAGGTGGGAATGCTCAACACTACTTTAAAATGGAAATTCAGATGACCACAAAAACCAAACTGCCCCAGACTGGTTTGGATTGGGAGCATCTGTGGAATTGTTTCTCAGAGCCGCTGCTGTGCTTTCATTCTGTGGAATTAAAGGCTCCATTAATAAAGACCAGAAGTCATCTGCTGTCAGGCTGGGCCAGTGGCTCCTCTGGGTGGTCCCTGCAAAAGGGAAACTTGGCTGCTTGTGCTCCCCACCATGGAGAGCTGGGACACATTAAGTGGCTTGCTCAGGGCACACAAAATCTGTCCACTTTACCCCCAAACTCACTTCAGATCTTTCTGCTACTGGAGCTGCATAGTCACGCTTTTCCCAAGGAGTTTCATTCCTTATTTTCAGTTTGCCAGATGTATCATTAGTAAAGTTAAAGGAAACAAGAAGAGCTTACAAGCATAATCTGATTAAAGATCCCTTGAAAGATGTGATCCAAACAAGCAATCAGAGCATGAATAAAGTCCAACTTTTCATTATTTGTTTTGAGCATTCCTTTGTTTTTTTACTTTTCACGCAGATATTTGATCTTTCAAGAAGGAAATGCAAATTGATTATCCACAGGCATTTTGATAAAGAAGAAAATACATGAATTTAAGTAAATTTCATATATAATAAGTTCAAATTTGCCATAAACTACATTTTAAAGTTGCATATAAAGTCCACTCTCTGTTTAATTCTCTGCATAAGAAATACTAGTATTGATGGATACACAGGCCCAATGCCTGATTTATTTATTCATTCATTTCCCACTCAAAATGCCCTCAAGTTAAAATATCCTTAAGGAGAAAGCTGCCAAGTGTTCTGACAGAAAGTGTAATGTGGCAAGCTGGTAGGAAAGGGGAAATGAAAGAAAAAAATTAAAAAGGGAGGGAATTCTGATAAAAATTGAGAAGGAGAACAAATGGTGGCTGAGATGAAAATGGAGCAGCACTTGATAGAAAGGAGATGCCACCAACAACACACAACCTTAGGAACAGAGGAAAAGCTCTTTGAAGAAATAAATCCCATCCCCCAGGCTGATTACAGGGGGGTCCTCTCTATTCTTTCGTTTTCAAGTTTTGTTAACTTGTGTGGGGCCTTGCTCCTCACTCCTCTTCCTCTCTTCTCCAGTTCTTCCCCTACAAATCTTCAGCCTTTCACAAAGAATCACAGAAAATCACAAAGAATTTACGGATGGATTTCTTTGTCCAGTTTTTTTACTCACAACACAGCATGGAATGCATTCAGGCCCTGTTCGGGGAAGTGTTGTTTTAAATACTGGAATGAAAACCACAATTCTCACGCTGAGCAGCTCTGAAGACATCAGGTGCATGAAATTCCAGGTTTTTTCCACTGATTTTTAAAGAAGAAAGAGAAATCCCTCTGTGCCTACAGCCAGGCTGAGATGTCACAGGACAGATATTCCCAAGATAACTGTGGCAGAAGGAGCAGGAGCTGAGCTGAGCTCAGTTTTACTGAGGAAAAAGTAAAACCACAAACTTCTATTTCCTGGCATTAGGATGAGCTGGAAAAGATGAGATATATTTTGGTAATAAGAGGATGAGAGTGTCAGAGGCAGCAATGGAATGCTAAAAGTAACAAAATTGAGGGGAACAGACTAAATCCATGGACTGAACCCATGGTTAGGATAAACCTGCACCACTCCCTTGCTTCACATGGGGCTCTGCTGATTTATACCCACTGTGAATCTGGCCCATAAATAAAGACTGTTTGCCTTGCAAGAGCCTCTGAAATGAGGAAAAGCTGTTTTTCAGTCAAAAGATAATTAAATATTAATCTTGGCAAGAGCTAATTCGCTGAGGATTTTCTGTTTGGTTGATTGGTTGGGTTTATTTTGTGTTGTCTGTGTTTTTTAACTATTTTACTAACAACTAAAAGGAAATTTTATATAATTTACAGCACCATCTTGCAGCACTGAGCATCTGGATGACATCCTGAATGTAGCAACGATTTTTAAAGTCCTTCCTCTTGCTGACCTTCTGGATGTGCTTCCAAGAGAGAGCTGAAGCAATACATGAAGTAGTATTTATATTTATTATCCCAAATTATTCTTAAGCTAATTTACTACTTCCAAGCTTTGTGGGAAAAAACTTAAGAATGAAAGATTTTCTCCCCACTCTGTTTTTTTGTGTCCTTCTGCTATAAAAAGTAGCCGTTTCTGACAATATTGAGGTTATAATTTTGAAAGAATCCATTCTTGCTCATTCTTTAGGCTGCCTTGAGCTGATCCCGTTTGTCCTGCCTGTGTTCCTTGCAGAAACTGAAAATGGTGATATTTTGCTTGATGAAGGAACTGTCGCAATTAATTTGAGCTGCCAGGCTGAAAAGCTTTTTGGCAGTTTCAGATCTGTCAGTCTTTGCTGGTGACAGTATTTCACCTGGCACTTTGGGTGGGATTTGGAGCACAAGGATTTAGGAAGGTGAGTTGTAGAGGAGCACTGGGCTGCTGTGGTGTGCAGTGAGGCTGGGGCAGGTGCAGATAAAGCAGCAGAATGAGAAATGGTTACTTTTCCTTTTCCTTGGAAAGCCTTTTCTCCATCCATATTCTGCTCAAGGAACAGAAAAGCACTTGCACTTAAAATCTTCCCTTTGACTACTGTGAATGTTAGGGAATACAAGAAAATGAACAATGAAACCACTGGAGCTAAAGACAAGCAACAGGAATCAATACTGCTTCCGATTCCCAACAAAATTTATTTTAGAAAGAGTCAGGGTTTCTTACTCCCCTGCAAAGGCAAATGAATGGCAAGACGGAATAGGAAAAAGCAAATAAAACACTGGCTGCAGTTGTGAAAGTCAGTCTAACCTGAGTGATACAATGTTCAGACTTAGAAAAAATTAAATCTAGATACACTTTATTTGCTTCTGCAATGGCCAAGACATCTTCCACTATCCCAGGCTGCTCCAAGCCCTGTCCAGCCTGGCCTTGGACACTTCCAGGGATGCTGGGGTAACCTGAAAACTTCTCTGGGCAGCCTCTCTCATCCCTGTTTGTGTTATTTTTCCAATCCCTTTCCAAAGCCCTGCACTCCAGCATTGCCTCAGAGCTGTCTCCTCCTATCCATGACCAGGAAAGGATCTCGTTAAGAACATTCACTTTGTTTTAACCCAGTGCCACACCCAGAACAGCGCCACGGCTGCACAACAGCAATAGCTGCTTTGATTAGAAACAGTCTCTCTACAAATGCCACCAAAAGGGAGCAGCCAGTGACAAGAAAATACACTATTTAACACAGACAACTGCACAGACAACTTCATCTGCCTTGTCTAGCGCCCTGAGATGCACCTCATTCAAAAATAAAAAATATTTACCATCTCTACTTAAACATTGCAATGAAAGGTATGTCTGCATAAAATAGGGTTTTTCAGGTCGAAAAACAGGCTGTGGTGTGTGCAACCACCGGGGTACAAGCACATCAAGCTAAGACACCTCTTGCTTTTGCACATCACACCTGCAATGTGACTCCCTAAACTCTGTGTCTGGCACCTCACCAACAAACTGTGGAGCTCCCCTCTGGTTAGGCAGCCTGTGTCTGCCTCTAATGTGTTTTTCCTGTTGTCTTTTGAGTGGTGAAGGCAGAGTTCAGAATCCTAAATTTTAGGATCACAGCCCCACTTGCCACAAAGCGATTTTTCTACAGCACAGCTCTAAACTCACACAAAGTATAAAGGAAACACTGTGGGAAAAGGGCAGCAGGAAAGATGAGAAAACACTTCATTTCTCCAGACACTCACAGAGTAAATATTAAATAGAGGAGAATCAATGATTACCTGGCAGAACCTCAGTGAAGGATTAGCTGGCAGGGGTCTCTCAGGCCCAGCTTGGTGGCCTGGCAGCTGGGGAAGGGGTGGCAGGACTCGCTGGGGTGTTTTTAATGGTGGCACCTCGTGTGTCTTCACAGGGCTGCTGATGTCGATGATCTGATATGGCAGCGGCCGCCTCGGGCCATCTCTCTGGGAAAAGTCATCCAACCAAAGTTATACATTTCAAGAACTGGCACAGAATCACAGGATGGTTTGGTTTGAAGGGATCTTAAGGACCAGCACATTCCAACCCCCTGCCATAAGCAAGGAGACCTCCCAGCAGGGAGCTCCATGCCCCATCAAACCTGGCCTATTGCTACTTTAAAACCTGTATTAATCCCTTGTTTTTCTCTCCTAGAGACAAAACTATTTCTTTTCTGCACTGGACATCTCCACCTGTCTTCAACTGGGAAGCCAGAGATGTATTTTTAAGCCTATACCCTCTTTCATTTTCCTTAATGTTAGTCCTACATGATATAAGTTCATGCAATTATTGCATTATAATAAATCACTTAACTGAGATCCAAAATACATGGGTTTTGGTTTTCTTTTTTTTTTCACTTTTTTTTTCACACTTTTTTTTTTCAAAACTAGGGACTCACTTTTTGTATGGTTGTATTTTGTGGCTTCATGATGAGGTTTTTACTACCACATGTGGTATGAACACGATTTGGCTCAGATGAACTGGAAGGTCTTGCTGGACTCACAGACCTGCAACACAAACATTTAATTGTCGAACACAACGTTCTAGTTTGTAATATTCTCTTAAACAGGAGCCTCTTTTCAGAATGGGATTTTGCAATGGCTTTCTGCCTGATTGTAGTAAACAAGGGAAGTAAAAATTGTCTAGCACTCCTGCAATAATAAAAATAAATATTGATTTTTTAGAAACCAGTAGTCTGTTAAATTAGCTTCTGCAATATGTGGAAATGCAGCTTTGTAACACCCAGGAGAATATTCTAATGAATCTAAAATTTAAACAGTAATGACCTCAAATAGGAAAGTTTCAGCTCACTCAACTGAGTTTAGATAAAAGGCCACACAGTGTAATGAAACTGTTTCAGGCAAATGAAAATAAAGGCGATACTTCCATCGCTGCTTAATTTTTCATCCCAAAAGGAAAGAGGGATATATTCAAACTAATATCTGCATTATTTACTGCCTATCAATGAAATTAAACCAACCCAGGGAAAATGCTGCTGTTAATGGTGAATATTTTTTTTGTCAAGGCTGCCTCTTTCTAACACATTCACAGTGATGAGAATTGCTGTGTTTACTGCTTCCTTTCCTTAGTATCTATTGGAATATAATTAGGGAAAATGGGCATACCTTAATTTCTCTATTGTTGTCTTCTTGCTTGTAAACAACCACCTCATGAAAGTCTTCCTTTTGAGGTACATGATTGATCCAGCAAAGATAAGGCACAGGGTGGTTATCAGCACTCCTATGGTCAAACTCTTATTGTCTGCAAAAAATCACATGGAGTTAACTTCTTCCAAGGGCCTGCTGAGTGCCTGACCAGGGTAGCTTTGCTATCTTCAGAAAAAAAAGATCTTTCAGTAGTGAAATCATGATGGGAAGCTTTGTCATGGAAATAATCATGATGTCATAATTTCAGTATTGCCATTTGCTGCAGCATCTGGCATGCAGGGAAGAGAATCCATTTTGGTTTATAATGGTATTGTTCATATGAAAACAGACATTATTGCCCATCCAGATTTAGTTTATACATGTACTTGTGAGGGGAGTGCTTGTCCTGTCATGTCCTCACACATAAACCAGAAACATCTCTTTGAGGTCCTTAAAGGTCCAACACTGGGGAAAAATTGGCACGGAATAATCAAATCCCATAAAATTAAAAATGTCTAGAAACAATTCTTTCTGAGGCTGACCGATTTCCACTCTTTATCTTGGAATGAAACAGGTGGAGCCTGAATTCCCACTGACCTGCCTGCCTGATGGGCCCACTGTCCACGCTGCCACCGAAGCCTGGCTTGTCACAGAATGGGGGGGCCCAGTCAGCCTCACAGTGACAGTTCTTTTTGTTGTTGCAGACCTGCAAAACAAGACAAATGGCTTAACATAAAAAACATCCGAGAGCAGCCCTGGCTGATAAGAGCTTCTAATCAGACAGTGACACATCAGAGAGGAATAAAACTTAGAGAAGAAAGGAGATGTGCTGATAGCTGCCTACTGCACACTGAGGTGGCAAAGAGCAACTTGCTCCGGAATAAGAGGGATCCTAAAAACCATTATTTCTTTGGCAGGTAATCATTGGAGTTGCCCCAGCTGACAACGTCAATAATACGAGGACAATCAGACACCTCTGAAGTCTTGTTCTCTCTTTGCTTCCAGCAGCAGCATTATCTGCCTGCTAACTTCTGTTCCTCCTGCCTGCACAGGAGCTGCAGAGCTTTGTCAGCCCCCCGAGCTCTCCTCTCCATCAAGGCCTTGCACTGGGCCCAGCAGGGATTTTTCCGTGGCTCTAACATGAACCAATTGCTGGAGAAACCTGTGAAAGTGGGACCAGGGCTGAGGAAACCCTCGGGGGAGCTCTGATATCCCGCCTGTGCTGTCTGCAGAGACACAGCGCTGCGGGTTGCGAAGGTTTTAATCCGAGCGAGGGAGCAGCGTGCGAGGCCGGGTCTATCCAGTGTCCCTGGGGGATCAGAGAGCTCCCAAGGGCTGGAGCCCATCCCCAGCACAGCCTGGCCCCGCTGCACAGAGGGGAGGGAGCCGGGAGATCCAGGGCTTTTCCCTCAGGAGGTCCCATGCTTGTTACTTCCTTTCCTTACTCCTCAAGCAGCTGATGTGTGGTGAACACAGAGCTTAAAGTTCTGTGCTGAATTGACAGAAAGCATGGAGTCACAGAATTGTTCAGGTTGGAAAAGTTCTCTAAGATCTTCAACCGTTCCCCAGAACTGACAAGGCCACCCCAGGTGGCCCCAGGTGCCACCACATCCACATGGATTTTAAATCCCTCCAGGGATGGGGACTCCAAACTGCCCTGGGCAGCTGTGCCAGGGCTGGAAAAGCTTTTCCATTAAGACAATTTTGCTTATATCCCACCCTGAGCCTCCCCTGGCCCAGCCTGAGGCCGTTCCCTCTCCTCCTGTCCCTGTTCCCTGGGAGCAGATCCCAAATCCCCCCGGCTGTCCCCTCCTGCCAGGGACTTGTGCAGAGCCAGAAATTCCCCCTGAGCCTCCTTTGCTCCAGCCTGAGCCCCTTCCCAGCTCCCTCAGGAATTCTCCAGCCCTTTTCCAGCTCCCTCAGGAATTCTCCAGCCCCTTCCCAGCTCCTCAGGAATTCTCCAGCCCCTTCCCAGCTCCTCAGGCCTTATCCTTCCCATTCCCCGAACCCTCACGT